CCGCAACAAGAGTGGGCGATTCTGGCACCAAGAGCTTGACTTGACCAGGGGAGACCAGAGCGACCGCTAACCCCCCAGGCCGTGAGTAGTGACGCTATGCTCAGAGTCAGTATATTGCAAAGGATCGTGAGATTCGAGTTGACCAGGGGAGAACACTACGGCCTCGAACCCTCCAGGCCTGGAGCTGAGTCGTCACGTACCACGTACCGAGACCCGATGTCACTGGATTGTGTTACGTCAGAGAGAGTCACTCACTCGCTTGAAGGCGGGCCAGAGGAGGCAGTCACAGTGTGTCAGGCGTGACAGAGACAGAGGGGAGGGAATGCGGGCGAGCAGACGCCCCGCAGCGAGGCGGAAGGGCCATTCCAGGAAGGCCTTCCCAGCGTGGCCCCACAGATAGGAAGCATCTCGGGACGTGTGAGTCAGAGTTTTGTCCCACACAAGTGACGGGCAGGCAACGACCAGGAGACAGGGGAAGGCATGCGCGTGACGGCGGAGGCTCGCTGCGTGGCTAGCGTTTTGGCGCCAGTGAATCTTGCGTTGTGCCATGCCGCCAGGAGGAGGAGGCACGCGAGGAAAGAGCGGAGGTGCGCGGGCTCCGCGCCAACCCCACGGGTCACATTCCAGCTGCTGTCACTCAGTTGTTGCTTTGTCTGGAGGAGAAAAGGATCTCCGCCAAACGGGCCCTGCGTGCCCTGACCGGAGGCAAGTCCCTGTGCAGCCAAGGGCGCTCGGGCCCGCCATGTCGCTGGCGACCGCACGTCGCCAGTCCTTCCTCTAGCGCAGAAGTGTCAATCAGAGTTGATCAGGTCGGGACGGGCACCCTCCACGTCTCGGACACGAAAGTGAGGGGCCACCCCCACGCATGGATAGCCAGTGCGCGTGACGTCTGGACAGGTCAGAAAAAGAAACTGGACGTGCCTGCACCACCTGCACCATTCCGAGGCCCGTGGCAGTTCTGACCGGAAGAGGGACAGAGTTGTGCCCCGGAAGGCATCTCTTGGAGAGAAATTCGAAAGGAGCTGAAGCGTGCGCAGCCCATGTGGGGGGCAGCGGGTCGCGAGCACAGGCCTATGTTTGCTGAGGCATCTTCGTGGTGATCACGTTGGGCCTGAAGCCGGCAGAACTCACGGACACCACTTTTGCGGACCTGTATGCCCTCCTCGCGCAGCCCTCAGAAGCAGACAGCATGCGTCGCAGTCGTGTAGTGTGTGGCGTGTGCAGGCCGCGGCCCTGGACGTGCCGCGCGAGGCCCTTGATGCGTTTCGGCCCCTCATCGACAAGTGGCTCAGCTTCCATGCAGAGCTGCACCAGGCCGCATGAAACAGAGTTCAGGGTCTTGCCGCATGCTATGAGCAACGCCGTTGCCTGCAGACCGGCGTGCAGTCCGGGAAGGGGGCGGCCCTGCAGAGCAAAGAAGAGAAAAAGGCTGCCAAAGCTCGCGAGGCGCGGGCGAAGGCCGCCGCCAAGCGGGCCAAGAAGGAGAGGGAGGAGGAGGCGGCAAAGGCCAAAACAGCTTTAGAGGCAGGATTAGAATGTTGCTGTCTGAAGAGTAAGCAGGGGGGACAGGGCGACCGCTCGCCAGGCCCGGCGTAAAAAGAAAAGAGACGAGAATGACAAGAAGAAAAAAACGCGGGCAGCCTTGAAGACCGCAGAAAAGGAGGGCACGGCGGAGGCCTGGTGCTGCGCAGTGGCTTGTGGTCGTGCACAGCATCCGGCCGCCGGGCACGCCAGGCGAAGGCCAAAGCCCAGGCCAAGCTGAAAGCTATCCGGGCCAAAGACAAGGATCGAAAATCCAAATATCGCCTCAAGCAGAAGAAGAAGGCTGACAAGGCCAAGGCGAAAGAAGAGGCCGGAGGAAATTGCAGGCTCGATGCGCATAGCGTCGCGAGAGCAGTCGCCTCTGGCAGAGGCCCGGGCGGCGCTGCGTCAGGAAATGGAGGCCCTGGCGAAGCGCCCCATACTCGAGGAGGCTCCACAACGACCGAATAGGAGACCGAATAGGACTCGGGGGCAAGGGCCGACCAGCGCTGCCCAGGAGTTGGACTACGTCATGGCGCTGGAAGAGCAAGAAGAGGCGTGACAGGGGCAGTTACAGTTCTGAGCTTGCGGGCGCTCCGGCAGGAAGAGTCCGACCTCCTGTCCACCGACTCCGAGAAGGCCCTCTAGAGAGGATGTGTGTGTGTGTAGGGTGCAAGGGCCGTGCGTGAAAATGCGAGGAACAAGAGTCGCTGGCAGAACTGCTCGGGACCACCGAGGAGGACGCCGCCCACGAGTGTCTCAACCTCGAAAAGACAACTCGTGCACAGGCAGGGGGCAAGGACCTCGGCGTGGCCAGGAATGACGAAGAGGACACCCGACTAGAAGACATTGCAGGGACCATGCTAGGCAAAAGTGACTCAAGGAAGCCAGCCAGCTGGCAAGGGCGAAGGCCCGCTCACTCCTGGACGACAACGACCCAGATTTCCGCCCGCGGGGCCCTCGAGAGTCACAGGCAACATGCGCAGCAAGCCTGTCTTGTCACCGAGGACAGGGGGCGGCTCCGCCAGTGGCCTGGGGCCGGAGGACAGGCACGCGCAGACGTCAAGTCAAGGGTAACGTAAGCAAGAGGAGGCACGCAACAGACCTGTCTGAAGCAGGGCATGAAAGCCACCTGGCAGCGTGCGCCTGAGGGATTCCAGCATGTCTGCTTGCCGTCGCATTGGTGATGTATTTAAGAGAGAACAGAAGCGCAGCTCCTGTGTGTGCATTTGTCCGTCTGCGTGTGCGCATGCTGGTGGGTGAGCTCGGCGTGTGAGTGGGAGTGTCCGGAGCCAGGCCTGCGCTCCGGCCGCTTCGAGCAAGCCCATGGCAGAGCGCTACGACGGGCGACAGAAAAATAGCGCTCGGAGAGAGAGCTGAGCACGTCCTTGCAGAAGTAGGAGTGTTGTGCTGTAAAGGCATGGCCAAGGATGCCTTTTGCTGAGGCCCTCTGCCGTGTTGTGGCATTGGACAAGGCAAACAGCATAAAGCGAAGCAGACGCCCCTTTTTTTTCAGTGCGAGGGAAACCTACGCCGGGGTCTAAAGTGCCGGGGCCTTGCCTCGAGCAAGGTAGCGGCGAAATAGAGGGAGAGCTGAGCACGTCCTTGCGGAAGTAGGAGTGTTGTGCTGTAAAGGCATGGCCAAGGATGCCTTTTGCTGAGGCCCTCTGCCGTGTTGTTGCATTGGACAAGGCAAACAGCATAAAGCGAAGCAGACGCCGCTTCTTTTCTCAGTGCGAGGGAAACCTACGCCGGGGTCTAAAGTGCCGGGGCCCTGCCTCGAGCAAGGTAGCGGCGAAATAGAGGGAGAGCTGAGCACGTCCTTGCGGAAGTAGGAGTGTTGTGCTGTAAAGGCATGGCCAAGGATGCCTTTTGCTGAGGCCCTCTGCCGTGTTGTTGCATTGGACAAGGCAAACAGCAGAAAGCCAAGCAGACGCCTCTTTTTTTTCAGTGCGAGGGAAACCTACGCCCGGGGTCCCAAGTCCCGGGGCCTTGCCTCGAGCAAGGTAACGGCGAGGGGCTCGCAACTGACTTTTAGAGGCCAGGGAGGGACTAGGAGGGTTTAATGCTCCCTGCACTGGGAGAACAAAAGGGAAGTTTGGGCCAGGGAGCCCAAGACCGAAGGAGGCAGGGGGGGCCCAAGCGGGGCAAAGGGGCCAAGGTTCAGGGGGGGGGGGGGGGGCCAGGGGGGGTCGGGAGGGTCAGGAAAAGGGGGCCAGGCGGGGCCAGGGGCCAGGGGGGCCAGGAAGGGCCCAGGGGGGTGGGGGGCAGACAAAACCAGGTCTTTGGTCGCCCAGGCTGACCTGCCTTGCGGCCCCTCTGCTCCCTAACCGGAGGGGGGGAGGGGGGCCAGGGGGGGCCAGGGGGGGGGCCAGGGGGGGCCAGGGGGGGGAAGGGGGGGCCTAGGGGGGTTTGAAGTGGGCCAGGGGGGGCCAGGGGGGGGCCGCGGGGGCGGCCAGGGGGGCCAAAAAGCAGAAAGCGGGGGCCGGGCGTCAGGACCACAAAAAACAGGTAGGTTTTTGGGTTTGGTAGTGGGTTTTGAGCAATCGCCCAGGCTGACCTGCCTTGCGCCCCCTCTGCTCCCTGAACACGCTCCGCCATGGGCCCGGCACCAGGGGGCTCCGGAGGGGGGCCCAGGGGCGACCTGCAGAAGCCGCAGAAGCCATTTTTGGAACCATGGAAACAGGTCGCCAGGTTTAGGGTTTCTTAATAATACTTGAGAATCGGAGCCTGGGGTACTGCACCGGCACTGGAGGTGCAGCTCACGCTCAACACAACTCTTTAGGCTTGCATAGTAACTCCAAGCGATGGTGTTAATCGCTGTCGGGGATGTGCTGGGTCCCGGCCCCCTAGAAGAGGGTGGGTACGGCCTAAGCAGGCCTGGGTGGGAATTTAGGGTTTAGGGTTCAGGGTTCAGGGTTCAGGGTTTAGGGTTTAGGGTTTAGGGTTTAGGGTTCAGGGTTCAGGGTTCAGGGTTTAGGGTTTAGGGTTTAGGGTTTAGGGTTTAGGGTTTAGGGCTTAGGGCTTAGGGTTCAGGGTTCAGGGTTTAGGGTTTAGGGTTTAGGGTTTAGGGTTTAGGGTTTAGGGTTTAGGGTTTAGGGTTTAGGGTTTAGGGTTTAGGGAGGATGTCAACTCCAAGCCACCTTCGGGTTCGTGGTATTTCATGCACCCGAAGGCAGTCACCGCTCTTCCTCATTCAAAATCCAAGCCTCAAGCTTTCAACTAAAATGCCTAGGGTTTAGGGTTTAGGGTATAGGGTTTAGGGTTTAGGGTAGGCCCGAAAGTTTGAAGAAAACACATGTGGGGTAGCCTTGCACCTTAAACCCGCGTAAATATAGCTGCTAAAATTTGATTCTGGTAGACTTTCCCAAAAAATGGGTGCAAAGGCTAAGGCAGGTAAGCCCCTTAACCCTAAGCCCTAAACCCTAATCCCTGAAGCCTAAACCCTAAACCCTAAACCGCAGCTCTTGACTGCTCAGGAGCCACGGAGCTCACAGATCAGTATCTGCTTCTCGGTGCGTCCATGAAACCCACAAGAAGAACCACGCTTTTCCATTCTACCCCTCTACCCTCTAAGCCTCAAGCCCTAAAGCCTAATTAAACCCGAAACCCTAAACTAAAGCTGATATCCTTGAATATTGCGAGCTGAGGGTTGGGGGGGGGGGGGGGGGGCGGCTTGTCACGAACCATCCTAGTGCCTACCTGAAGGCTCTACTATAGTTCCTTTTTTGGGTTAGTTACAGGGGATGCTCGTATGCTACCCCAAAAAGGCCACTACATGAAAGCCTTTAGGTAGCCCCCTGCCAGCATGCCCAAGCAACCCAAAACCCTAAACCCTTTCTTCTTCTTCAGTTGTTCTTGGTTCCCTTATGAATCCCTTTATTGCTCGAGGTGACCTTCGTCGGTTCTTGGACGTTTTGTGTTCACCAAATGCCACACAGTCGTCGCTTTAGGGCTTCAGGGCTCTCAATGTGGGGATTTCCGAAATTAGGGGTACCTTGTTGGGGTCCTTGTTTATAAGGGAGTCCTACGGTTTGGGGGACTATATTGGGGTTCCCCTTACCTAGAGGCTCCTATGTAGTACCTTTTTGGGGTAGAATCCCTTATAACTAACCCAAAAAGGGACTACATTGGAGACTCCAGGTATGTTCGTAAACCCCCATATCGACTGGCAGCTTTAAGTTTTGAACTCAGACCGGGTCTTTGCATAGAGGGCATCATCACAGAGAGCGGGTTATTGGCAGGGTTCCGTGTCATCCGTGGACGTGCAGATGCAGCCTGTGCACTGCTGAAGCCATTTTGGAAGCCACTGAGTTGAGAGATACCGAAGTGTACCATTGTTTTGTGGATGAAAATTCTACGGCAGGAAGAGAACTTCTCTGCTGATTGCTTCTGAAGCAATCAGCTTCAGGACGTGTTCTGGGGAAGGAGTTGCAGGCTTATCTAGCAACATCGACAATCCACCAACTCCTAGCACTTCCCCGAACACTCCGGGACACCCTAGACCCCAAGCCCTACACCCTCAACCCTACCTACTCCCATGTAGTACCTGTTTGGGGTAGTATACTGGAAACCCCTACAACTAACCCCAAAAAGGAACTACCTTAGAGCCTTCCTGTAAACCCTAAGTCCTAAAGCCTGAACCCTAAACCCTCTAAACCCTCTAAACCCTCTAAACCCTAAACCCCCTAAACCCCCTAAAGCAAGGTCCGAATGCAGCTCCGATTTCTGGGAGTTGTCACTGGCAGCCCGCAAGGCGTTGGCAGCAGGCAGGGCCACAGGGCCACAGACCTCCCGTTTAGGGTTTAGGGTTTGGGGTTTGGGGTTTGGGTTTCGGGGTTTAGGGGTTGCCTACTGTAGCCCTGGTACTGTGACAAAGGGTAAATTTACCAAGAAGTACGGCACACTGCCTTATGTTCAGGGTATAAAAGTTACTGCGGGTAGGATATAGAATTGAGGGCTGCAGTCATTCTTTTCGTTAGTGTCCAGTTATCAGGCTTTAATTATACGTAGGACTTGCGTAGGGTTTAGAGGGTGGCTGTAGGTTTTCAGTAGGGTGGCTATATCTATTCTTTGTTACAACCCGATACCAAAATCCACAGACCTTCACGCGTCTCCTTGCCCAGACCCCTGGGAGGATCAAAAAAAAGCAACCCTCAAATAGTACCCGATACTACTATTGGGTCATCTTTAGGAACCTTGAAGGGGATCTACTTTTTGGGTCTTTTTGGATCCTCCCATGGGTCTGGGTGATAGGCCATCTTGAGAAAAGAAGACGGGCATCACGCCTTCGCCTTCCACGTTTTTTGCCTCGGTTGCTGGGCCACCTCAACCGTAAACTCTATAAACCCCAAACCCCAAACCCTAAATCCTTCTAGGGTTTAGTTCTTGGTTGGGACCTCACCCCTGCGTTCGGAGCTCTTGCCGTGTTCGCCCTGACCTCATCTGCGTGTGTCAGAGCGCTCTGGGATCAGGATCCCTTGCGCTTGGCTTGGGTTTCGGGTTGAGGGTTTAGGGTTTATAGGCTTTGGGGTTAGTACGGTTTTAGGGTTAGTAAGGTCCAGGGTTTAGGGTTTGGGGTTTAGGGTTTAGGGTTTAGGGCTAGTAGAGTCTACAGGGTCTATAGGCTTGAGGGATCTTCCCTAAAATGCAGATCTGTACAAGGCCCTTGTCCGCCACAGAACCCCAAAGTCTCGACACTGAGCCCGAAACCTGGCTTTAGACCCTTGCAGACCAGTCTTAGGGTGTGACAGGGTTTAGGGTTTAGGGTTTAGGGTTTAGGGTTTAGGGTTTAGGGTTTAGGGTTTAGGGTTGAGAGCACCTTGTTGCCAGGAAAGAAGGCAGCGCGGTCTGCGCGGACGGCGATGAACCACGCGACCCAGCTCGCCCTTGCCCTGAACCCTATACACCCTACCTAGGGTAAACGTGGAAGTTAAAAACGGCAAACGTACCGATAGTTGAGGTACCTCGCGCTTTGCAGGGTTTTGCGCTCGAGCTGGGGGCTGGTTGATGTCATCATGGGTGCGGTACAACCCTTGCGGCAAGTGGAGTGATCAAATCCAAGCAATCTCAAACCCTAAACCCTAAACCCTCAAGTACCCTCTTGCCTTTCTTAGCCAGTATTTATGGTTCAGCTTTAGAGCTTAGGGTGTTTCTGTGTGTATGTGTTCCATTTCATTTAACATGTTTACAGTTTCAGGTTCAAGGCTCAGGGCTTACGGAGCTTCGGGCACTCTTAAGCGGGACGTTCCGATGCCCAGGTGACGCAGCAAGTGGGGCTGCTTGCTGCTACTGGGATGCGTTGAGCTTGCGGGACTTCTGGGATTATTCATGTCATTTTTGCAAGCAGAAGAGGCTAAACATGCATGATGCTATAAGGGTCATAAGAATAGTCACAACTGATCGAGGTATAGATGCAGATGTAGACACTGTTTAGATGGTTATCTGTACATATATATATATATATTTATTTATTTATTTATACATTCATAGTGTGCAATAGGTAAATACATGTGTATATATATATATGTATATGTATATATATATATATATATATATATACATACATACATATAGATGAGCGTATGTATGTGTGTATATATATATATATATATATATAGATACAACTGCACATATACATCCTATTGTTCACAGACACACTCAGTTTATACATAGATATATACAAAACATATGAATATGTGTATATATATATACATACATTTTCATGTACATGTAGATATACCTGTACATGTACATTTACATCGTGACGGATAAGCCCTGCTTTCATGTTAGCAAGCGAGGCCCCAAGCCCCGGAGAGAGCCCTCGCATCCCTGCAGAAAGTTTAACCCTAAACCCCAAAACCCTAAACCCCAAACCCTAAACCCTAAACCCCTGACTCAAGGGCCTTCATACCCAGGACATGCTCGTGGACGGAGGCCTCGCGCGGCACGCCACGGAAGCGGCGGCGGCCGAGCTCACCTTCGAAGTGACTTCGACCTCCAGGGGGTTTAGGGTTTAGGGTTTAGGGTTTAGGGTTTAGGGTTTAGGGTTTAGGGTTTAGGGTTTAGGGTGGCGGTAGGAGGGAACCCGAAACCCCAGTTCCGACAATTTCTTTGATAAAGGTCATGTGGTTTTAGGTCTTCGGGCTGTAAGGTTTTGTGGTTTGGGGTGCAGGGCTTTAGGGGCATAGGCATAGGGTGTAGGGCTCTAGGGTTTTAGATCTTTAGAGCTGTAGTTTTTGGCCACAGGTTTAAAGCGTTTAGGATTCTTGGACCGGGTGAGGGGAGGGGGCTTTGCATGTGTAGGGCTTTGTGTTATAGGGTCTTGTTCTGAGGGTTCAGGTTGGGATGTTCCCCCTTTCTCTTTAATGGGGATTATAGTACCCCCTATTATGATCCCTATTAAGGACTTTTAGCATAAGGCCCAAGTTCAGGGTGAATTGCTTGGTAGCCCACTTTGGTACCTGGTCAACTTGAAGCTTGCGGAGAACATTACAACCCGTTGAAGAAGACAGCTAGATGGTCTTCGGGGCCCGATGAAGTTAACCCAAAGCATAACCAGTAAACCCCAAAACCGACAAACCCCACGGGTGTGGCAACTCCCTACCTGAAGGCTCTAACATCGTTCCTTTTGGCTTAGTTACAGGGGTTCAGTGCATGGTTTCGGGGCACAATTCTGTTTTGCTACAAAGTGCTTAAGAGCCACTCAAAAATTTCTCTTCCATATAAGGGTACTTTAGGGGTTGTTGTTTTGGGGGTTCTTCAGCAAAGGTTTGGTGACTCCAACTGTCTCTTGTCCACCTTGCATCTTCCACCCTGCTGGCGGCTATCCCTTGTTGTTCCGGAGCGGCTTCGGGTCTAGGGTCCAGGGTCCAGGGTCTAGGGTCTAGGGTCTAGGGTCTAGGTCTAGGGTCTAGGGTCTAGGGTCTGCCTGCAGGCATCGGGCGGTGTGGGTGCATCTGATGATGAGCAAGTCCCGGATGAGGTGGGAGACGATTCCTGGGGTTGGGCCTTCGCCCTGGAAGTTGAAAGGTTTAGGGTTTAGGGTTTAGGGTTTAGGGTTTAGCCCTAAACCCTACATCCTGGGTGACATACTGCCTAGAAGGCCTTCACAAGTTTGTTGGTTCTACGGTGGTTGGCCCCTAAACCCTAAACCCATTGGTGGAGCATTTCAGGATGGAAAGCACCGGCTTTGTGCCTGAGTTCGGATACTGGGCTGGGCTCTGCTGGGCTTGCCTTTATTTTTGCTTGCCTGGAATATCCTGGCACCTTAAAACGGGTACGTATACCAGTTGTTTTAGGCACACTTCCCTTTTGTCAGGGTAGGAAGGTTAGTCCAGGCAGGGCTTAGGGGGGAACCCTTAACCCTAAACCCCCTAGACCCTAGACCCTACAACCCAAAGGCGCTGTACCCGGATGGGCCCGACTTCTTCAATGCCCAGATCTAGTCCAAAGCTACAAGCCCCACACTGGTTTAGGGTTTAGGGTCTGGGGTTGGAGTGTCTTCCAAGTTTAACCCCGAGGCCGTATGTTTCTTACGGCGTTGGGTGCAACCATAGCTTCAGTTCGCGCCCGGCAAATCTTGCGAACTGCCAGGGTCAGCACGTACCTGCACGGGGGCAATTGTATCCAGGTAGGTCCGGGTGGGTTTGATTTGGTGCTTGAGGGCCCTAAACCCTATGTAAACCCTAAACCCGAAACCCTAAACCCTAAACCCTAAACCCTAAACTACCCTAAACCCGGGCCTGTGCATCCCTGCTCACCTCGCATGCAGAGGCCAGCAGCGCCCCTGCTGCTGACACGCAGATTGAGCAGGCCGGGGCGAACAGAGCCTTCCAGTACCTAAACCCTAAACCCTAAACCCTAAACCCTAAACCCTAAACCCTAAACCCTAAACCCTAAACCCTAAACCCCTTTTGGGATTGTATACGAGAATCCCCTAGAACTAACCCGAGAAGGGACTGTCTAAGAGACTCCAGGTAGAGGTTCCTATGCAGTACCTTCTTGGGGGTAGTATACTAGAATCCCATAGGTGACTCACGCAAAAAGGAACTACATTAGAGCCTTAGAGCCTTCAGGCTTCAGGTAGCTTTACACGCTTCGGCTTGAACTCTTCAGGGGCGGGTTTCCCACTTTGGGTTGGTGGGCGTGGGACAAAATAGCCGCCAGGACTGTTCTGTTCCTTCAGGGTTATAGGTCCCCCCTCCAAATACGGTTGCAGCCAGTTCAAGGTACAACACAGTTGTACGTAGGTAGTAGTAGGTTACGATAAGGTTATAACCAGTTAGCCTGCTTATCAGTAGGTTTCTCAGTGCTCACTTTCACAGATCTCCAGATACCCTGCCCATAACCCTGAGCCCTCAACCCTAAACCCTAAAAGCCCCGCACGTTATCGTCCAAGTAGCCCCTACTGCAAATGAAACGAACCCAAAAGGCCCAAAAGGCCACTACGTAGGACCTTGGGGCATGTTTTCTAAACCCTAAACCCTAAACCCTGAACCCTAAACCCTAAACCCATGTCCGGTTTACGAGGATCCAGGATCCTATCTGCGAATGTGTTTGCAGGAGGTTTAAAGGCTCCAAACCTGAGTTCTCACCAGTTCGAACCCTAGATGCCCGGCGCATAGCCTGGAAGTTTTCCGGTCGCTATCCGGCAATCCTGGGCTCCTACTGAAAAGGTGGCCTAAACCCTAACCCTAAACCCTAAACCCTAACTAAACCCTAATGGGCTCACACTGAAAATGTGGCCTCGCACGCGCTTCTAAGCATTCGCGCATGGCTTGCGAAGACCACTTGTTTTTTGTTTGGCAGCCCAGTGATACTCTTTGCCCTTTTTTTGCTCTGGGTTCCCTTATATAGTAACCAACCAAAAAAGGGTGCCCTTATTGTAATATGGTTACTGGGTTACCAAGCTTTGTGAAACTCGAAAGAAAAGACTTGGAAGCTACGCTAGCTATGGAGCATGTGGGATGCCTCACTAGAAATACTGTAGATCGGGGAAGTTCCTGATAAGTGGCTATGATATAGGTAGCCCAAACGCTAACCCAAACCCCAACCCCCACACCCTGAACTCTAAACCCTAGCCTCAGGTCGTCCAACTCTTCCAAGCTTTCCGGCCCCACGGGCAGACAGGGTCGGTGTCGACCCTTCTCACACAGTGCTTTGGTGGCCAGCAAGGGTTTCGGGTCTAGGGTCTTGGGTTGAGGGTCTCTGGGTCAAAGTGTTCGAAGAGTCGTTGCTAGTCTAAAGCCCTAACGCTATCAAGTGACAAGTCCGCGCCGTTGACTGGCGATGGGAAACACCAAACAGAGACGACCAGCTTTGTAGCCTGGTGGGCGCTGAGCTGGTCAGATTTGCCCCAGATTAGGTTAGAGGGTTTAGGGTTTAGGGTTAGAGGGTTTAGGGTTTGGGAAACACTCTCAAGCAGCCCTTACAGTAGCGTAGACAGAACTACCACGCAAGCCCTATGCCAAGATCCTGGCGCTGTTCGTAAAAAATCAGAAACCCTAAAGAGTCCAAACTCCACTCGGATCAGAAGCCCTATTTTAGGATGCCCAGTAGTACGCTTCTTCCCTGTTTTGGGGGTTTAGGCTCCCGTACAAACTCCTTTAAGCAAAAGCAGGGCGCCCTGTTTAGTTCTAGGTCACTGTGCAACCTAGCCTATAAGCTCTAAAACCCTGAACCCCGGTATCGACCTGGCGGCAGGGCTTGAAGGCTTTAGGGGAGTTTAGGGTTTGGGGTTTAGGGTTTAGGGTGTAGGGTTTAGGGCTTTTGCGCTTCATGGGTTCAGGGCTGCAGGGCTTCAATGGTTGGGGTTTGGGGGGGCTTCGGGGGTGTTTGGTTTAGGGTGGAGGTCTTGACAAAAATAGCTGATGTAATACTCCGCTAAAACCCCAACAACCAAACCATAAACACTGAACCCTGAAGCCTGCCATCCCTTACCCTTACCCTAAACCTAGACCTAAACCTAAACCCTACACCCTAAACCCTGCACTCACAATCCCAGGCCGGAGCTGCACCAGGCGCCCAGTTTGAATTCCTTCATGCTTGCAAACCATAGGAGAGCTTCGGGTTTTGGGTGTTGGGTATTAACCCTAAACCCTAAACCCTAAACCCTATGTTAAGGTTTAGGTTTGGGATTGGGAGTTCTGCGGTTTTGGCCCGTGACCCAGGCATGCTGGGGCCTCTTGAGAGCTACGGGGTTTGGGGTTTAGGGTTTGGGGTTTAGGGTTTAGGGTTTAGGGTTTAGTTTTGTGGAGTTCAGCTTCATGAGTTCAGGGGCTCGTCTCCTAGGTTGTAGTACATATATCATACATCACAAACTTAAAGGGCCTTTCGAGGACCACTGAGAACTAGACTGGCCCCCTTTGCAAAGCCCCAGAGGGCCCAATACTTACATCAACACGGACAAGGCCCTCGCCACAGCCAGAGAAGCAGCTTTCAAGCAGGGTGTGGGGGTTTAGCGTGTAGGGAGAGCCTGAAGTGCGAAACCCTAAAACGCTAACACCCTAAAACCCAACCCAAATCCCTGAACCCTGAAACCTTGAAATCCTGAACCCTAAAACCCTCAGCCCTCTTGACCCCAAAGACGCTGCCACCTACCCTAAACCCTAAACGCTAAACTTTAAACCCTAAACCCTAAACCCTGCACCCTAAACCCTAAACTCCAAACCCGAAACCCTAAACCCGAAACCCTAAACCCTAAACCCCGGAAAACACTGGCCCTAGGCTTTGGTTGCAGATCTCATCAGTCGGCTGCACCGCCGCATGCCTCCCTTCTTGCCCAAGGTGTGCAGTTCGGTTTAGGGCTTAGTTAGGGCTTAGGGCTTAGGGCTTAGCGCTTAGGGTTTAGGGTTTAGGGTTTAGGGTTTAGGGTTTAGGGCTTTGGGCTCAGGGTCTAGGGTTTAGGGCTTAGGGTTTGGGGTTTACATATTTCGCATGTTTCGAATAGAACAAGGCTTATTGGTAGCGGCTTAGGGGGTTGTGGATGTAAAGGGGTTTGGTAGCAACAGACCTCAAGATTGTGGGGCTTGGGGCGCGTTGAGCATCTACAAGCTCTAAGCCCTAAGCTCCAGCCCTTAAACACCTTAGAGCCCCAATTCAGGGCGTGTTCAATGCTCTCAACCCTCGACCCCAAGACCTTCAGTGGACCCTCTTTCCTTTGCTTTCCCTTTCGGGTTTAGGGTTTAGGGTTGAATTCACCCTTGGTGCCCCTCTTGGGGTTCTGAGTTCTTAGGCTGAGTTGTTCTTACCCTAAACCCTAAACCCTAAACCCTAAACCCTAAACCCTAAACCCTATGCACCCTAACCCTAAACCCTACTTCGGCTTACTGGAGGGGGTTTCGACGATTGCCACAGGGCTGAGAAGGGTGTCTGCAGGATTTATGGGGAGTTCATTTGGGGGTTTCCGAAATTCGGGTTTAGGTTTAAGGTTTTGGGTTTAGGGTTTAGGGTTTACGGTTTAGGGATGGGGGTTTCCGAAATGAATGAGGAGGACCTTATTGGGGTCCTGAATTTCCGGGAATCCTATCGTTTGGGGGTCTATATTCGGGGTTCCGTATTTTCGTAAACTCCAAAAACCTTAAAGTCCTTGTAGCCCTAAACTCCAACCCCTAAACCCTAATCCCTAAATTTAAGAGCCTCCGGCTCAAGCCGCCGACCCCGCCGGAGCATTGTTCAGGGCTGAAGCGGCGCAGCGTGCCCCGGCGCCAAACCCTAAACCCAAACCCGACCCTAAACCCTACAGCCGAAACCCTAAACCTTACAGCCCAAACCCTAAAGCCTCAGCCCTAAAGCCGAACCCTAAACCCCAAAGTAAAGCCTAAACCGAAACCGGAACCCTAAACCCCGAAAGCCTAAACCGAGGACAGCCCAACGACCACAGGCTTAGGGTTAAGGGTGGGAGGGCTTAGGGTTTAGGGTTTAGGGTGCAGGTTAAGTTTTTATTTTTCCCTGTGCGAAATTTGGTTATGGTCCAGGAGTACACGCGGTGTGGGTGGCCTGGCCCTCCACGGAAAAGCTGCCGGGGTACCCCCCCTACCCCCCCCGGAGGTTTTCACCTCCAGAAACCTATCCAACACGCCGCCAGGGTCGGCGGACACTAATACCTAAACCCTAAACCCGAAACCCGAAACCCTTCTGTCCTTGACCTCCCCACCCCTCCCCTGGTCAGGCCCTAGCCTCCTTCCACCTGGTCCAGGACGGCAAGTAAGTTCTCAAGGGACGCAGAGGTTCCTGGGTTTAGGGTTTAGGGTTTAGGGTTTAGGGTTTAGGGTTTAGGGTTTATAGGGTTCAGGGTTTAGGGTTTAGGGTTTAGGGTTTAGGGTTTATTAGGGTTTAGGGTTTAGGGTGCCCAAAAAAGGGACCACATTTTCGAGAAGTGACCAAATGAGCCCCAAGAAATCCTGGAACGCACATGGAGCCATGGAGCCATAGAGCCTCGGACATTTCAGTCCCCATGAGGTTTTCAGCCTTCCAGTTCCCACCCCAGCCCCTGCCCGCCATGCTCATATGACACCCTAGAAGCCCCAAAAAATTAAGAGCCCTAGACCTTGGGATGTTCCCCCTTGTCGTAACAGTCCTTGTAAGAGGGATTATAGTACCCCCCCCCCCCCCTATTAGAATCCCGATTAGGAAGTATTTAGTACAAGGGGGAACATCCCAACCTGAACCCTGAGTACCCTAAAAGCCCAGCTACAATCTCCAAGTTCGTGCTGCTGCCTTTGAAGACGGCAATCTTCCTTATGACCAGGACTTGCGCCATCGCCACGACATGCACGGCCTTGCTCGGACGGGCAAGCAGGACTCCGACACAGTCACAGCCAGAGTTGATTAAGTGACGAGAGCCACTCAGAAAGGTCTGCAATCCGGAAAGAAGCAGAAGACTAGGACCCAGAGTAAGCCTCTTGTTCCCTTTTTGAAGGTTTAGGTTCCCCTACAAGCCCCTTCAAACCAAAACGGCACCGTTCTTACTCCTAGGTTACTCATGAGTCCAGAAGAAGCGCCGCCACCTGAAGCACATTGCTTATGGCCGCGGGCACGCTCTTTGAAAGATGCCCGAAAACTCCTGAGAGAGGCCCTTATGGAGATTTGCGCACTTGAGCCTCATCAACAATCACCGACAGACAGTTCAACGCAAAGTCTCGTATGTATACGTATCAGAGGTCCTGCTCGGAGATGTAGCGGACGCCGGATGGAAACCCTAAAGGAAACATCGCATAATCGCAAGGCGCTCTCTGTAAGCCTAGTGGAGCACTCAATGGAAGACTGACGGAGATCCTAAACCCCACGAAGGAAAGACCATTCCTACAAAGCTTGCAGCTGCAAAAGGAGCCCCTATAAGCCCTAAACCTCGCGGAAAGACTAGAAGCAACCCCAGTTGCATGCCAGCATTAGCCTCTTTTGCATACGGTTCTCAACCCTAGACCTAAACCCTAAACTCTAAACTCTACAGTAAACCCTGAACGCTAGTCCATGGGAAACGACATAGCAACCCCATCGAAACGCAGTTTAACTCGCACTACTCCTGGCAAGATAGCTGTACTGTTCGGGCATGGGAGCTGAGAAACAAGAAGCAGTACGCGACCATATCGTGGTAGGTTTTTGATGGGAGGACCGGCATGACAGTTCGGCGAGGAAGAAGTGCAATCTTTACGCAGTCCAATTTCACCGCTACTTTGCAGACCTAAACCCTAAACCCTAAACCCTAAACCCTAAACCCTAGCTTCCTATGGCCTTCACAGATGCCCATACTGGCTAGATGTCTAGCAGTCTAGCATACCCTAAACCCTAAACCTAAACCCTAAAAGTCTTATACAAGGTCCGAGCAGGTCCAGGGTTTAGGGTTTGGGGTTTAGGGTTTAGGGGTTAGGGTTTAGGGTTAGGGGTTTAGGGTTTAGGGTTTAGGGTTCGGGGTTTGGGGTTTGGGGTTTGGGGTTTGGGTTTTGGGGTTTGGGGTTTGGGGTTTGGGGTTTGGGGTTTGGGATGAATGCGGCGCCAGGATGCCAAGCTGATGGCTGCAGCCTGGGCGCGCAATCTAGCTGCAGACAGAAAAACCCTGACCCGGTGGCCCGGTCATACCCTTTTGCCCCTGTTTTTAGGGTTTAGGGTTTTAGGGTTTAGGGTTTAGGGTTTAGGATTTAGGGTTTAGGGTTTAGGGTTTAGGGTTTAGGGTCCTGGCCTGGTGGCCCAGTCATACCCTTGTCCCTCTGTTTGTTGGGTTCTAGGTTCCCTTGCAAAGTTGCCAACCCCCAGAAGGGTACCCTTGCTATAATATGGTTACTGGGCTACCAGGCTGACCATGCATCAGGGCTAGCTAAACCCTGAACCTTGCAGCTGTACTTGGAGGTTCATGGTAGTGGTGAGTAGGGTTAGAAGTAAGGTAGCTTTTATTTATAACTGGTTAGAACCTTACTTAGTAGGGTACTTATAAACCTACTTATAACTCATGATCTCAGGTAGCCATGGCCACTTAAGCCTTGCGGCTCACGTTCTTCTGGCCAGGGTGCTTCCGCAACATATTGCTCGGCCGCGCCAAGTCCCAAAGCACCTTCAACTCCCTGGGGGTTCGGGTTTCGGGTTTAGGCCTTAGGGCTTAATTAGGGCTTAGTGTTTAGGGTTTAGGGTTGCCTGTGACTCCCAAACGCTACCAGAAAAATCGTATGTTATAGCCCCTAAATATGGGTCAAACCACCCCCCAAGTAGTAGGTAAATGGCGCTGGAGGCAAGCCCCGAACCCCTCAGCCTGAACACCAAAGCCCCTGGATCAGGATGACCTCATGGCATCTTCAGAGCCCCAAAAGGCCTCTTCAATTGAAGAAGAGACCTTCTCACTCATTTTCAGAACATGCATGTCGTTTCGTAAGGTATATTCCTGAATTGAGGGGTAAACTCAAAAACCCCTAGACCCTCAAGCCCTAAACCCGAAACCCCAAACCCTAAACCCTTTAAACCCGAAGCCCGAAACCCGCAACTCCAAACCCCAAATCCTAAACCCCTAAACCCGAAACCTGAAACCGAAAGCCCCAGACCCCCTACCCCTACCCAACGGCTCCTATGTAGTACCTTTTTTGGGTAGTATACTAGAATCCCCTTGAACCAACCCAAAAAGGAACTACATTAGAGCCTTTAGGTAAACTCCCTGGGTCTCAAGGTCTGGATTCCGAGTTGGCATTGCTGGCGGCCGAGACGAGGGCCACTCAGCCTGAGATCCTCTTTTAAGGGGTTTAGGGTTGAGGGTTTAGGGTTTAGGGTTTAGGGGGTTGGGGGGTATAGGGGTATAGGGGTTTAGGGGGTTCAGGGTTTAGGGTCTCAGGTTTAGGGTTTAGGGTTTAGGGGCCGGAGGGGGGGGGGCGGGGGGGGGCGGGGGGGGCGGGGGCGGGGGGGGGGGGCGTGGGGGGGGGGTCGGGGGGGGGGGCGGGGGGGGGGGGGGGGGGGCGGGGTGGGCGGGTGTTGGGGTTTAGCGCTTAGGGTTTACGTGCTGCTTTGTGTGGTTGGGTGCCTAGGTGGCGGGTTTAGGGTTTAGGGTTCACACCCTGCAAGCCCGAACAAAACCCATCAGTTCATCCCACCATTGATTCAGCTGGATCCCCATCATGGCCGATGATTTCGATACTTGTACAAATCAATACCCCGAGGATAAGGTTTAAACCCTGAAGACCTCAAATCCTGAGACCTGCAATCCCGACAAGCCCTAAATCCCGCTAAGCCCCGAAAACCCTAATCCCAAGACCCTCAAAGCCCGAAATCCCCCGAAGCCCTTGAACCCTCAACCCTAACTAAACCCGAAACCCTGAACCCTAAATCCCTAAACCTAAAAAACCTAACCCTAAACCTTTAACCCTAAACCCTAAATCCTAAGCGCCAAAAGCCCTGAACCCTAAACCCCCCAACTGCGAGCCCTCAAAACCAAAGCTGTTAGCGAAACCCGCCTACTAACAAGGACGGAACATCGAACGTGTTCGTATCAAACAAGGTCCTCATTGCAGCTGGGGTAACGAGCCAGTCCTTCATTGACCATATAAACTCGAAACTAAGCCCCGAGACCCCTAGACTCTCGACCCTCAGCCCCAAAAACCTTAAATCAGGATGCCCTAAGCCCGGAACCCCCAAACTCCTAAAACCCCAAAGCCCAACCACCCTAAACCCGAAGCCCTAAACCCTAAACCCTAAACCCCAAACCCTGCACCTAAACCCTAAACCCTGAACCCTACACCCTAACTCAGCCCCCCCGAGAGGTCGAGGACTCCAAGCTGGGCTCTGTCTTTTTGGAGCGGGCTAACCGGATGCTGGAGGCTGGGGGTTTAGGGTTTAGGGTTAGGGTTTAGGGTTTAGGGTTTGGGGTCTGGGTGCAAGGCTTAGAGCTTCCAGGGTTTCTAGGGTTTAAGGGTCTTAAGGTGTAGGCTTTGGGGTTTAGGCAGGAGTACCCTCTATACCCTTAAGACCAGCGACGTGCCCCTTAGGCATTGGTAAGCTGTACCTTTTTTTTGGCGTACGAGCTGCGGATGTTTGAGGTTTCGGGTTGCAAGGTTTTCCAGGCCCAGGGGGTCGACCAACACCTGATACTCACTCGTGCCCACGGAGCTTTGCGGATTCGCTTTTTGTTTCAGGGTTTGGGGGAACTTTTGGGTTCAGGGTTCAGGAAGCCCTTAAATCCAAACCCTAAACCCTGAACCCTGAACCCTGAACCCTGAACCCTAAACCCTAGCCCTACACCCTAAACCATTCTCGAAGTTCCGTGGGTTCGGTTTGTTTTGTCATTTGGTGGTTCGGGCCTTGGTAGATGTTGAGAGGTTCAGGAGGTTCACTGTACGTCAGTAAAGTGGTGCCGTTTTAAATGGGTTGTGAGGGTGTAGGGACAAAACAGTTGTGTAAGGTTGAGGTAGATTTCCCTTGTTGTTGTTGTTGTTGTTGTTGTTGTTGTTGTTGTTGTTGTTGTTGTTGTTGTTGTTGTTGTTGTTGTTGTTGTTGTTGTTGTTGTTGTTGTTGTCGTTGTTGTCGTTGTTGTTGTTGTTGTTGTTGTTGTTGTTGTTGTTGTTGTTGTTGTTGTTGTTGTTGTTGTTGTTGTTGTTGTTGTTGTTGTTGTTGTTGTTGTTGTTGTTGTTGTTGTGGTTGTTGTTTGTTGTTGTTTGTTGTTTGTTGTTTGTTGTTGGTTGCTGTTGTGGTTGTTGTTGTTGTTGTTGTTGTTGTTGTTGTTGTTGTTGTTGTTGTTGTTGTTGTTGTTGTTGTTGTTGTTGTTGTTGTTGTTGTTGTTGTGTTGTGTTGTGGTTGTTGTTGGTGTTGTTGTTGTTGTTGTTGTTGTTGTTGTTGTTGTTGTTGTTGTTGTTGTTGTTGTTGTTGGTTGTTGTTGTTGTTGTTGTTGTTGTTGTTGTTGTTGTTGTTGTTGTTGTTGTTGTTGTTGTTGTTGTTGTTGTTGTTGTTGTTGTTGTTGTTGTTGTTGTTGTTGTTGGTGTTGTTGGTGTTGGTGTTGGTGTTGGTGTTGGTGTTGGTGTTGGTGTTGGTGTTGGTGTTGGTGTTGGTGTTGGTGGTGGTGGTGGTGGTGGTGGTGTTGTTGTTGTTGTTGTTGTTGTTGTTGTTGTTGTTGTTGTTGTTGTTGTTGTTGTTGTTGTTGTTGTTGGTGTTGGTGGTGTTGGTGCTGTTGTTGCTGTTGTTGTTGTTGTTGTTGTTGTTGTTGTTGTTGTTGTTGTTGTTGTTGTTGTTGTTGTTGTTGTTGTTGTTGTTGTTGTTGTTGTTGTTGTTGGTGTTGGTGTTGTTGTTGTTGTTGTCTATCAAACCATTCATTACTATTTTTTATAATTAGCAAAATTTTTTAATATCATATTATTTAGTAAATGTTTATATTCAATTTTTAATGATTTTTCAAATCTTATTCTCATTAATTCATTATTGTAAATACATTTTTGATAAAATATATATTTGCTTGTCATGATTAAGAATAACTGTAATCGTTAAAAATGTTTCTTGTCATGTTATCAATTGATTATGTTTTTGGATTGCTTGGTTTGATGAAATTACATATTTTATTACAGACAAACAGGATTCTATTGCGTGAAGCAACTTTTAACCAACATATTTACCGTATGGTTTAAGAAAAGAAGTTAAAGTATTGCATAAAAAATATGCAAAATATTAATAAGGATGACATGGATGAACTGGTCATTAATGCATTTAAAGTTTATATGAAATGTGGTGAAAGAATATATAAGCTATATTTTCATGGATCAATGGGTTCATTTATTGAAGGAATAATGTATTTAACATATATAAATAAATATTCATTTAGAATAATCTGTGTTGATAGACCTGGAAATCATTTATCAACATTTCCCAATACAGTAAAATCATATGTAAATATTCCATCTTGTTGTTGTTGTTGCTGTTGCTGTTGCTGTTGCTGTTGTTGTTGTTGTTGTTGCTGTTGTTGTTGTTGATGTTGTTGTTGACCCTCATCAGCTTGATCTTGAAGCATACGATTTCAGAACGCTCAAAAGAGCATCACTTCAGCTGCGCCTACTGCAACAACTGCGGACTATTACGGCCACCACACCTACATCGGCCAGCGAACAGATCCGCGATGGCTGGGAATTCCTTGAACAAGACCGTGATCTCTCAAAGCTTGACTACGAGGACTACCACACCAAACTGGTTTCAATGATCCCGCACTATCAGGAGACACTCCGAGAAATCCTGACACTGTACCGCCTATGGCTGTCAACCCCTCTGTCCGATGAAGACTTCTTGTGGGTGCGCAACCTGGTAGTGAGTCAGCTTCTACCTAGAGACACTCTCCATCGCTACTTTGCTGACAGTCTCTGGCAACAAATACGACACAGATATGGAGGGGACCAAGGAGATCTCGAGCAGGCACAAGGAGTCATCACAATCCTTTCCCCGCTCCATGACCAGGTCTATGATGACTATAAGAACTTTGCTGTGGCGCTGACTCTGCTCCTCGTTCGACACCGTCAACGTCTGAAGCAGACGCTAGACGACAAAATTCGGGGCTAGAGACTGTCCGAGCACCATAGCCTTCCAAACGAGTGAGGTCCCCTCCTGTTCACTGCACTATCTTCCCAAATTGCGGGAAAAAGCGTGTAGCTCCGATCTTCCTATGCCAGGCTTAACTAAGCACAGCTCTCCTCGCAAAGTTTTGCTCTCAGGTTCGCACGAGTGAGGTCCCCTCCTGGCGAACTTCAACCCAGCCAAGCCCCATGGCAGACCTTCGCCCCGTCCTCAGCCGCGAACAGGCAATGGAGGTACTCCTTGAATCTCTTTTCCTACCGCTGCCGGTATACCCTACAACTCCAGCTGGCGCCGCCACAGCGAGCAATCTGGACCTGGCATCCTCACGCACCCCTGCGGGGGAGGCGATCCAACACTCGAACCGTCAGATACGGATAGCTTCGCGTGCTTGCAGCTTCATGAAGCTGCTCGCGGAGAAGGTTCACTGGCACATGGGAGAGTTGCGGCTCTACCTTCCCAAAACTGCGCCCCGCAATTTGGCCGCAAAACGGAAGCATGAAGAGATGATGCTGACAGAGCCTCGTTCTCCTACTCCGACGTACCATCAGAAGCGCCAGCTCCTCTTCATCTCTCAGGCGATTCGGGACTACACCAATGATGGTCCTGGCCAGAACTCCTTCCAGCTCGAAGACGCGGAGCCTACCACCCAGCGCATCTGGACGTACCTGACGCGCCACTTTGGCCAGGGTGAGGTGCACTTTATGATTGCCAACGCCCTGTCACATCTACACCTTCTTATGCGATCGTCAACTCCACGCCTACTCTCAGGCATTGAGCAGTCACAGCCATCGCATGCTCCAGGACAAGGCTCGGACTACTTCCCTGCTAATCTTCGTCTGCGCGATGACAAGCAACTGGACCTTCACTACTTCGACCTGCAGGCGCTAAGGCGAGCCTCCACAGTATACCGGGTGCAGCAGCTGCTCAAAGTCTCTTCTTCCACCGAAGGGGCATCGTCAG